ACCTCAACCCCAAATAAGGTCTTGATACAGTCATAGAAGCTATAATCTTTCCAGAACAGCATCAGTGTCTTCCTCGGTTGCAGCAATAACCTGGCCCAAGGTCTTCCTTAGGTAGTAGACCTTGAAAGCTGCTATAACTCCTTGATCCACTGGTTGGAACAAAGAGGTGGCATTTAGAGCAAAAATCATCACTTTGATATTAGGATGAAGGTCAGCAATAAAAGAGAATTGCCGGAGCACTACCAACAATAAGTAACATTTTGAAAGGTATGTGATTCTCCATACAGTGCTTCTGTACTTTTCTGACATAGCACTTCCCGAGGCCATCTGGACTATGCATGACATCTTTTTGCTCCTGAAGCATGCTGGAGTGTGTGCTTGTTGATAWGCTTGAAAGCCCTGGGCATACTGCTGTGACAGATCAGAAAGGCTTCCAATTCATAGCCTGCAACACTACCCCTAAATACAACTGCTGTCCCATTCTTAACAAGCCTTGAAACCTGGCACTGACTTGGCCTTCTCATGGATGAAAGTCCTTCAGGCATGGTTTCCAAAATATTGAAGTTTCTTCTATATTGAAGACTTGCTCTGGCAAGTAGTTTTCCTCTATAATCAGCTTATCTAGGATCTCCAAAAATTCTTCAGCTGCTTTAACATCAGCATTCACAGATGTGCCACTTTCATATTATGTAAGACATGATTTGTTCAAACTACCCAGAGGTACCAGTTAGTTCAACATCGTAGAGGGGTCCAACCTTTTCCTTCAACATTGCAAACAAACTGCTTGGGCCATGACTGTCATGGTGCTAAAAGGGATATACTTCTGTGTGCCTGGTCTTCAATCTAGGGCACTAGAAGTTTCTTCATATTTGAAGGCCATTCTTGAATTTTTCTTAGTCCCTTTCCCATCACTGAAGCAGATTCCATCAATTTGTTCTTGTTCTTCAAGATGGCAGCTATGGTAGGATGGGATATACCTAACTGGTAAGCAATGTATCACTGACGTTATCAACTTCATAGTCCTTAATCACTCAATCKTTTTCCAGATGAATCAATGTAGCCTCTTACTGTCATTAGCAGTGGCTACTGTACACTTACGAAACATGATAAACAAAACAACATGAGATTACATCAAGCACAAGATAAAATGATACAATCAAAAGACAAAGTCAATGTGAGATGCATATGCTGGCATAACACACAACAAGACACTGTGTTACAGTAAACATTTTTTTAATAAATAGAAGGAGCACACTTTAAAGTGATAATAAAAGTATAGTATAATAAATACATAAACCAGTAACAGTCATTTATTATCATTATTATTATTATGTACATATAATTATAACTGTATTACTATATTTTTATACAATTGTCAGCACAGTAGGTTTGTTTATATCAGCATCACCAAAACCACATGAGTAACATGTTGCACCAGAAGTTTTGTTTTGTTTTGGTGGTGCTGGGGATTGAACCTAGGCTTTGTGCATGTTAAGGAAGTACCTTACTACTGAGTTAACTTCCCAGCCCTTAAACTTTTGGAAGTCTACACATCACTACTAGGTGATAGGAATTTTTTAGCTGCATTATAATCTTATGAAAGCACTGTTGGTCCATTACTGGTCAAAATGCCAGTATGCAGCACTTGACTAAATTTTAAAGTCTAAATTAAAACAACAATTTTGAGAATGATTATATACATTATATGATTATACATTTATATATATAAAATGTATGTAATATATATTATTCTTCCCAGAGTTTAAAATACTATACATAATACATATTCAATTCCAGTTATTTTTAAATGTTAAAATAGTTTCTATGGGCCAGGCATAGTAGCGCATGCCTATAATCCAGGCAGCTCAGAAGTCTGAGGAAGTAGGATCACAAGTTCAAAGCCAGACTCAGCAAAAGTGAGGTGCTAAACAACTCAGTAAAACCCTATCTCTAAATAAAATACAAAATAGGGCTGGGGATGTGGCTAAGTGGTTGAGTGTCCCTGAGTTTAATCCCTGGTACCCACCCACCCCCCAAAAAGTCTGTGTGTGTGCGCACGCGCGTGTGCGCGCGCGCGAGGACGCAAGTATACACACAATGTGACTATAGGTACAGATTATATACAATATATGTGAAATCTCAAAGTGTTAAGATAATTCCTCACATACTTATTAAATCAAAGTTAAATAATTCTGATATGAAAAACCAATTTCTTTCCTAAYTAAAATTTTAGTTAGGGCTGGGGATGTGGCTCAAGCGGTAGCGCGCTTGCCTGGCATGCGTGCGGCCCGGGTTCGATCCTCAGCACCACATACCAACAAAGATGTTGTGTCTGCCGAGAACTAAAAAATAAATATTAAAAAAAAAATTCTCTCTCTCTCTCCCCTCTCTCACTCTCTTTAAAAAAAAAATTTTTTAGTTAATACACTTCAAAGGTTTCTCTTTTCCTGCAAATTTAGACCTCATTTGAATATTATATGAATATTTCATATGAATTTTTATTGTTTATTTTTCATCACCCCTGGTGAAATAGGAAATTATTTTAATATGCCAACTAGAATATATCTTACTTCAGTCTTCATAGTTCCTGCCTCTTCACATTTAACAAAGTTCAATTATATACTAGTGTAAAATTTTTTTCTTTTCTAATAATAGACTTTCTCTATTGGACAGGCCARGAGCAGAAAATTTTATCTTGCAAGACTATTTAATTCATTTCTAATTTATTCTAGCTTTTTTCCCCCCTCTTTTAATTGAAAAGGAGAATTAGGGAAAAAAATCACAAAGTATTCTCTGACTCTAATACTTTAACATTTTATATAATCCCTAAATATTATAGTTTGAAGTTTTTTTAATCTACTGTTTATATATAACATTTTCATTTTTCTACACTATTAAGATTTATAATTTTTAATGACTTCACAATTTGTAGAAAAATTTCCTCCAAGATTGGGTATTCAACATTTTTTGCTTTCATTTATAATGTTATATAATGAACACTTTTTTTTTCTGTTTAATTATTACACTAGGATAAATCCCTAAGGAGTAGAATTGCTATATGAAAGGAAAATTGTAAAATCCAATATGTTTCTTGCTATGAAATGCTACCAAAAAATTTGTATTAATTTAGAGCTACTTGAAGCCAATAATTTTTATGCATTGATAAAAGTCACTGCTATCTTTAATGGCCCTAAATACCACAATTAAGAAAARAAAAGCCCTGCTATTTTAAAAATGTTCATCAATGTAAAATGGTGTTTCAAAATTGCTTAAGAACATTTCTGTGATTACAAATGAGAGTAGACATGCTTCTGTCTTTTGTTTACTTTCTATCACTCCATATGCTTTTTTCTTTTACTCAGGGATGACCAATGCGATTCTGGAACCTGTATACTCAGAAAAATGAGATATTATATCCCATTTGATTCAAATATATGATATGTCAAGATCACTGTACTGTCATGTATAACTAATTAAAACAAATTTTAATAAATAAATAAATAAATAAATAAAATTAAAAGTCTAATGATATTTTCACACATTATGATAACAGCATTTCATCATATCCATAAAACAGTTATTTTTCCTAATTCATGGTGCCTTTCTTCTACATTTGTGTTTTTTCATTACTTGGAAAACATATACATATGTTTGAAGCCCCTTCTTCCCTTATTTTTTTGTTTAAATCTGAGAAATCTTTTTTCCTTTTTTAACCTCAAAACAAAATCAATTCACATTGGCAATTCCATACATTTAAAGTAGTTAACTCTCTTAAAAATTTGGAGGGTTTTTTTTTCAGTGACTTAATGTAGGAATTAATTTTTCAGATATATTATTATTTTAATATGTTATTATAAATAACCCTTCTTTATAACACAGTTCTAAAACCATTCTTCATCWTAATGGATTTTTTACCTATAGTAGTAATTATTTCTAAACATTCTCAGCTATTTTTCATTCTTATATTTCATTCTCTTCACAAAACTCCTCCTTCTAGTTTTGAATACTGTAGTAAAGCTCAATGTCTCCCATATTTTCTGATTTTTCCCCCCACAATTGTTCTCTGTTAGTCTCRCTGGTTGATTTTCTCATGTGCATTTTGACATTTGCAAAAATAATCATCAGGGTTTTTTTGTCTTTTTGTTTTTTAAAGAAGTATATTTAGTTGACATTAATATGTGAATAAGATCTGTTTAAGATAATATTTTGTCTATTCTCTCACAAAACATGGTATAGTTTTGTATTAAATTCTTCTAAGTTCATTAGAATTCTTTAAGAAGTGAATAAGGATTTAATTTGGAATTGATATTACTAAAGGTATTTACCACTGGTTTCCACTAGTGGTCTGTCTCATAATGGTTAAGAATCTCACAAATAATCTATTTCTGGTACTCATCAACAGCACAGGCAAATATTTCCTTAATATGCTGAMTAAAAAGGATAATGCAAGAGAATGCTATTTTAAAATATCCAAAGAAAACTCCCTTTTTTTCTCCCCTCCTATTCATTCATCTCCTCCATCCATTCACTCAACTAAAGTCTTAATTCAGAATTTAATTTATAGAGAAAAGAATATAAATCTTTAGGTATCAAAGTTGGAAGGATGGTTTTGGTATTTTATAGTCTCAAAAGTATGCCTGTTTTTTCTACAAAGAAAATCAAGATTTTTTTTTTTTTTATTACCAAATGAGCAGGAAAACTGGCTAATAAAGCCATCTGGATAGACACAAGAAAAATGCAAAGTGACAATGTTGCTGTGTCCTTTTTGTGCAAATAACATTCTTCCAAAGCAGATCACAAGCCCCACTAATGCCAAGGTGAATGTTTAAACGTCTCCACTCTTACCCAAAACTGAGAAAAGTCCCTGAGAAAGCTCAGTACTCACTGTTGAACCAAAATAAACACACACCACTTGCCTAATATATTCTGTAACTGGTTGTAAGAAACCAATATGGAGAACTCAGGAACTAATATTATGAGCTTACAGACTTTATTTTTACCTTCAAAGCCAGAATTCAGAAGGTGCTCCCCAAGATCACAACCAAACACCCGCTCTTTCAAAATCCCTCGCTGCTTTAGCTTCTGTTTTGTTGGACGAGACTTCATGAATGTTCGTAAGAAAGTAATGAGCTTGCCGTGTTTTTTAGATACTAAAAAATAATAATAAAGGGAAAATATTTTAGTAGTGGCAAGAAATTAAACGTTCTTTTWAAAATATTTTTAATTTGTTCCTTTTAGATATACATGACAGTAGAGTGTACTTTGACATATTATACATATGTGGAGTATAACTTATTCTAATTAGGATCCCATTCTTGTGGTCATACATGATGTGGATTAGACAAAGGGGAATAAAGGGAAGGGAAATGGTGATGGGAATAGGAAAGACAGTAGAATGAGTTAGACATAACTTTCCCATGTTCATATATGAATACATCATYAGTGAAACTCCACATGATGTACAATCACAAGATTGGGATCCATTAAGAAATTACATTTTCATAGTGTGAAAAGAAACATACATCTTCATATACTGACTAGAAAACAATCTATTAATATACACTTCATAACTTGCAGGAAAATTTCAGCATTTTAGTTCACAGATGTGTTATTAAAAACTTCATAGTTTTGCACTTTTTTCTCACTAGCCTGTGGTCTTATTTGATGGGACTGTGAACAAATTTAAGTGTTACAATCCACGATCTTTCAATCAAGTTTAGTAAATCAGCCATTTTCCTGTGCACACTTAAAGATGTGACAGAATTCCAAGAAGGACCTGAGTTTTACATAATATATATTGCTTTGGAGATCTTCATAATAAATAAGACTTGAAAGAGTGTAAAGATGGTCAATTTCTACAGTACACTAAATGTATCACCTTAAGTCCTTTGTAGATCAAGAAAAGAAATAAGCAAGTTAATATGTGGAAAAAAATATTTGCAATGATTAATATAATAGAAAAACAATAGTACAAGAATTGAAAGCAAACAATTTTTGCGAAAAACCACTTTTACTGATAAATGCAGCCTATAGGGAAAATAGACAAGTCAACCCACAGCAAATACCATGAGCTCAGAGATCARTTGCAGGATTAAAGAGTATGCAGGTGACCTCAATCCTTCTATTCAATTTGCGAATGATTACTGGAGTCTTACGTAAGCCTACTATAGATTGCTGAGTAATCCAAAGCTTAAATCTCCTGACTAGATGAAGACTCTGAGGGAACGCTGTGTGCCAACCATAACTTATGGCTTAGAATGGCTACTAGCTCTATAAGTAGAGGTCAGATCAGACATTCGCCATCCATTTCTTTTCTTTTTATCTCATGGGAAACACTATTTGCAGACAGAAGTATCTTTTCTACAGACTCCAGAAGGGTGTACAGAGAGTTTGGATTTTATGCAATAAGAACATACCAAATAGTTAAAACAGTTACTTTAAAAATAACCCAATATATGCATTAGAAGCCCAAAAGTATACTAATTAGTATATTAATTAATTATTAATTATATATGAATAAAGTATAACACATTCACATAGAGGATTACCGATATCCTTTTGCTTCTCATTATGTTTTAAAACAGGATCTATACTGTGATATGGAATAATCTTCAGGATATATTAAGTCCAAAAAGAAAAATACATAAAAGTATATTTAACATATAAAAGGATGAGGAGTACATATACCAAACACACACAATTTTACACACATGTATGTATACACCTAAGAGCTAATTTTTGCAAAAAAAAGTAATATAAAGGGTAAAATGTATGGTGGGGAAAGAATGGAAGGTGCACAAGATTTTGCTGAGTGAGTGTGTGTGTGTGTGTTTAATAGTCTGGCTTTTGAATTATGTCAGTCCTCCTACTACATGTTCAAAAATAAATTAAAAACATTAAAAAAGCAAATTCTAATATTGAAAATATGTACCTGATAATATCAAACCAAAAGCATAGTCAACAGAGATAAAATATCTTAAATACATATATGTAGTCAATTGACTACATGCTTATGGGATATAGTCTAATGAGAAAAGAAGCACAGTCATATTCAACTTCATTCAACTATTTTACTATTGAATGCAATTATAAAACAAAAAAAATACACACACAAAATAAACCAAAATTATTATTAGAAAAGATGTTCTAATGTGTGAGAGAGTGGGGATGATAAATATTAAATTGAAGATAAAGAGAGAAAGAATAATAAAATCAAAGAAGGTGAACAAAACTCTCTAATATTAACTTGACTTAGAAATGTCAACATGAATTCAAAATGAAAGCTCACACACTTCCTCTGAACTCTATCCATTGACAAGGCTTAGCAACAATGACATATCTGAGACAGATGTCTCAGATCTGGGTTTCTAAGTCATTCCTGACTAAAATGAACCCAGACTACTAGGAGAAATGCCTAACTCCATTTTGGCAGCAGGCAAAGCACAAGAGGTGAATGGGAAACCTTATTGCAACAGAAAGCAAGGTGACCATGGTTACTAGTGTACCATGCCAAAGAGTCAAGGCTAGTCAATCGTCCCTGGTCAGACTTGGGATGATTCAATCATCATAAAGAATAAATATATTTAATTATAAAACATCAAATAAATAAAAATCCATGAGTTCATAGCAACATTCCCCCAAAGAAAGAAGTCACAATTTTTAGCACAAATACAGCTTAAAACATCGAAAAAAAACTGCAGGAGTAGTCTGCCATATTAAACTGGATTTCTCAACASTAGAAAAAGGTAGATTCTTATTTTATTCACATCAATTAGCAATATTAAATTTTGAATTATCCACTGGAATTAATTATACTTTGACCTTCACAATTCAGGATAATTGGATGGAAATGTGTGCTAAAATACCATTAGTCAGAGGGCAGCCTGTGTACAACTGGTCTTTCCAGGACATTAGATTGCTTTAACTCTGCTTCTTGGTTTGGTACGTTTGGCCCAAGAACAAAGAAAGTTGGCTATCTTTCCCTGTTAGGGTGATGACTACTCACACTTATTTTTCTGATAGTAACACAAGACCTAATTAATTAAGARCTGCAAGAAAGCACAAAATTAAGACAGTGGAGGATGTCACTAGGAAAACTTACCTCCATTTGGTACTGAAGGACTCTGGGAAACAGTCCTGATATGAGCCACTGGATCCTATTCTGTGTGGCCACCTTTCTCCTGTTTATTTCTACCTCCAGCCCCCCACCCTCCCCAAAAAACAATGGAGTGAGAGTGGTGGATAGGATTGGGAGTGAGAGTGGTGGATAGGATCCTTTCTTACTAACCTATATCCCATTCTGAGACAATAAAATTATACATAGTCATGATGGTGATTATCTATAAAGGCTATGGTTGAAGAAAATTAAACCATGTTCTGCATAGTTTTGGAGTTGCTGTTACTGAAGTTATAAACTGACACTCTGTGATAGAGAGACTCTGGCATCTGAAACTAAATAATCATTTATCCTCTAAGACAGTATAATCCATTGCACTGAAAATCTATACTAATAAAATATTCAAATTTAGTTATTGTTAAATTTGAAAATCTAGTAATAATTCTAAATACAAATCTCTCTTATTAATTTTCTTCATTTTAAATTTTCTTCCATTTCTTGAGCATTAAAATGTCCAAAATGAGGGCTGGGGATATAACTCAGTTGGTAGAGTGCTTGCCTTGCCTGCATAAGGACCTGGGTTCAATCCCCAGCACCACACACACACACACACACACACACAAAATGTCCAAAATGAAATTCTGAACAGGGGCACTGCTCCCTCTGACTGCCTTCTTGTTCAATATTACTTGTTACTACTGTTTGAAGAGCAGAAACACAGAATACTCTCAATTCTGTTAGAAAACTTCTACTGAAGAAGCTGAAGTTTGGTTTTAGATGGTTAAGTACTTACAAACCCATTTCTATGTAGAAACAGACATGCAGTGTGGGAAGGGAGGCTGTGAGGGTTAAGGTCCATCAAATATGCTGAATTCGAGACTAAAACAATTAACTATGGTATTCCACAGATAAAGAAAGTCAATAATGAAGTACAAAATGACACTCAAGACAAAAGCAAATCATATAATTTTAGATCCAAATTTTCTATTCTAGAAATAAAGTGCAACATGTGCCATGATCTTTTTTCATGTTACTGAGCCATGATAGATTTTATATCTGCAATCTTTTTATAGACCTGAGACAAACCCTACCAGACCAGTTTTTCTGGCAGTTACAGGCTTTAGCAGTATGACACACAACATATTATCTTCAAGGTAAATCTTTATGATACGAATAACCAGTTTATAGGAGATACTAAAAACATACAGCTCTGTAAACCACAGTGAACCTTGACATGGAAGTGAGACACTGGGGTTTTTAATTATATGAGCATAATATTTCTCCAGCAGTCACCAAGTAGTCTTATATTCTGGTAATACTTTCCCTAGAGTTCTTTAAATTGGTTCTCAGAAATCTTCTAGACTAATGTAGGACAAGTCTGGGCTGGGATTAATTTCTAATTAATTACTAAGGAAGAGAGTTTGTGCCTAGATAATGGCCTCAGCATTAAGTTTATTTGATTATATGCATCGAGTTGTGAGATCTGCAATAAATTCAGAAAGTCAAGCAGACAAAATTAAAGTGTGGTAGTGAAGGCACATAAACCTGTAGAGATTGTTCTGATTAAACCAAAGATATAAAGTTCGAGTATAATGTTTGTAATGTTTAACTTCAAATAGATTTTCATACATTGTATACAATATCCTCCTTTACTAAATTCTAAGAACACAGCATAGAACTTTTGGGGGAAATTTAATAGAAGGGGATATAAATATACACAACCAGGTTACATGATATTTAGGGCTGTCTTATAATCTCCCAAATCTGCATATCTTAAAATATTTTATTCTAAATAAATACAAAAAGATTTGAATTTAAATTTAAAATTTCATAAACTTGCTTTTATTTAAAGTATAACAGTATTTATTCACACCAATGAATATGGAGAAAGGATTTTTCTCTACAACTATCAAATTGAAGGACTAACATTCTAAAATTTCTGTTCTTCAAAAGTCTAAAAAGTGAATTTTAAAGAAAAGGAAAAAATTGCTAACACAAAAGGCACACTGTGCTCTTCTTAGTTTTTTCCTGATT